CTCTAGCCCGGGCGACACAGTGAGACTCTGTCTCAAAAAAAAAAAAAAAAAAAATGTATCGTGGCTGAGACTAATGTTTTTTTGGCTTCTGTAACCGAGCTTGCTTAACCCAGTAAATTTCCACTATGTGGTTTGTGCCTATGTAAGAGCCCTGCTCCCCTGGCTCGAGACTGCTCTCTGTGCAGCCGCCTCTCAGCGGTGCAGGGGTAGTCGCTGGCCAGCTAAGAAAGACTCACAATTTGGCTCAGTTTCGGTCTTAGGCGGTCTTTTCTAGCACTCTGGATCATAACATTTCCATCCTAACAATATTATTCAATTATTTTCTGCTAACTACATTGGACCACTGTCAGCTAACTTACTAATATACGGAAAAATGTCAGCTGTCATGGTTTATATACATTTTACATTACATATATTACTTTCAAACACTTTCCCAGTAAAATTTGTAAAGGTGGAGGAAAAACTAAAGGTTTCTTTTTTTTTTATTATTATTCCTTAAAGGTCTATTTTATTAAAATTTAATCTTCAAATTGTGTTTTAGTTAGGTCTGCAGGCTGCTACGGTGCAATGATGAAGGCATTGCTTTTTTCCAGAATAAAGAAAGGTGTTTTAAAATAACAGAGCTTCTATGACATAAATTTTTCCAGCAGGGCTTCAATCTGAAACATTAGAATATTGAAGAATTCTGAGGATTAGTATATCTCCACCACACCAGAATTTCTTTAAACATTCCAACAACTATAGGGAACTTTTACTAGCTCTTTTTTATTTTACTGAAACTAAAGTTTAGCAAACTAATTGACTTACAAACTATAACAAGAGGACAAATATTTAGCCAGTAATGTAAGTTCCTTTGGAAAATGCACATTCACCTTCTCTCATTAGAATTTTTCTGCAGCTATTATAATGTTTTCAGATAGAATTTAAAATTCATCTTAAAAATAGAAACAAACAAAAGGAGTAGTTGAACTAACAAACGCTAATAAAATTGTGCTCAAACTTACTGACAGAATCATGGCTATGTAACACAATTAGACTCTACCAGTTTTAAGTAAATAAGGAAAAAACGTAATTATAAAGCCAGTCTCTCTCCTTCAGGAAACAAAGAGCCACTTTTGAAAAATTGTTCTCCACAAAATGCGCAAACCCCCAGCCCCCAATTGCCTGCCAGGAAAGGCATGTCCCGGAGCCCCACCAACCATCACTACAATCAAGACAGTAACTATATCCATCACCTTCCAAAGTTTTCTATTGTCCCTCATGATTCCCACCTCTCAGTACTCCCCTCATTGCCCTGCCCTGACAATCACTGACTTGCTTTCTATTGTTTAAATTAGTTTGTCTTTTAAAAGAATTTTATAAAATGGAAGTAGTATATAGTATATAATATTTTCGGTCTTGTTTCTTTCACTTATTAATAGTATTTTGATATTAATGTGTGTTTTTTAATGGCTTAATAGTTGATTTTCTTTTTTTGAGACAGAGTCTCACTGTGTTGCTCGGGCTAGAGTGCCGTGGCTTCAGCCTAGCTCACGGCAACCTCAAACTCCTGGGCTCAAGCAATCCTCCTGCCTCAGCCTCCCAATTAGTGGGAGCTACAGGCACTCACCACCATGCCTGGCTAATTTTCCTATTTTTAGTAGAGACAGGGTCTTGCTCTTGCTCTCAGGCTGGTCTTAAAATCCTCAGCTCAAGAGATTCTTTCCGCCTTGGCCTGCCAGAGTGCTAGGATTACAGGTGTGAGCCACCACACCTGGCCCAATAGTTAATTTATTTTTATCACTGAATTGTGTTACATTACAAAAATATAATACATTTTACGCATTTACCTGTTATTGGACATCTGGGTTATGTCTAGTTTGATAATATTAAAAATAACTACATTACAGATGTTTTATATTTTTAGGTTCTACATTTATATCTAATGCATTTTGAGTTAATTTCTCTATATGGTGTGTGGTATGGATTCAAGATAATTTTGTTTGCCAATGATTATCTAGTTGTTCCAGTACCATGTGTTGAATATCCTCTCCTTCCTCAATTTATTTACCTTTACACCTTTGTAAAAATTAGGTGCCCATATATGTGCAAGATTATTTCTGGATTCCCTACTAGGTTTTATTTGCCAATTTTCTTATCTTTATGCCAATATCACACCATCTTGCTTAATTTAGACTGATATTAAATCTTGAAAGCAAGTAGGCTTAGCCTTTTGTATTCAGTCTGCTAAAGCTTCCATGAAACAATACCCTAGACTAGGTGGCCTAAACAACAGAAATTTATTTTCTCAAAGTTCTGGAAGCAAAACGTCCAACATGAGGTGTCTGCAGGTTTGGTTTCCCCTGAGGCTTCTCTCCTTGGCCTTTAGATGGACTCTTCTTGCTGCCTCCTCACATAGCCTTTATCTGTGCACATGTGTCTGTGTCTCTTCCTCTTATAGGAACTGGTCCTATTGGATTAGGAAGCCAACATTATGACCCCATTTAACCTTAGTTACATTTTACAAATATTGAGTCTCCAGTCCAACATTGGTTCCTATACAATCTGAAAATCAAAGCTTTATAATATTACTGATGCCTAAATCTTCCTCTAGTCCAGACCAACTAGTTCACACTTTTTTGCTTGCACAGACCAAAAAACTTGATTAATCCTGGACTATTATCTTCACCTCCTATTCTACAACAAACCTAACTGCAAGTACTTCAGAATACACACAACATGACACCACTTCTCACTACTTCCACTGGGTCCACCCTGGTCTGGGCCACCCTATCTCCCATGGTGATGCCTGCATCAGCCTCCTCACTGGGCTCCTGCTGGTTTCTCTTCTCTAAATTTACTTTACTTCCCACTTATTAATGCCATTAGCCCAAGTCTATGAAACATGTTCATCATTTTAATTGAGGTGAACCTGGTGTCCCAACAATATGAGACAGAAAACTTCACATGAGAGAGAGAAATGTTATTACATGGTCATGTGTAGGCCAGCTTGCCCAAGTGACCACTGTGCACACTTTTAATCCCACAATTCCCAGGGTTCAGTTTGACATAATTGGCCACCTCCACCTGAAGGCTCAGCCTCATGACAAAGTCTAAGTGTTACATATTCTTTGTACATTCTGTTCTGAGATATGATCAAAATCATGAGTCACTTTTTTCTAAAACTTGCTTTTCATAATTTCCTCCATTAGGTAGAGTCTTCTCTTTCTCATCAACCAGTAAATAAAAATAAAAATTTCAGGACCACCCTCCCCTCAACTCCTTATGCAAAAGAGAAGGCAAAGACCTCAGGCCCCTGTAAAGGACTGTCCCCACAGATCATTCATAAGGAAATTTCTTGCTGGCCTCTTGGAAGCAAGGACATGCACATTACAACTTTGTGTCTCTAGGCTAAGTCTAGCTCCTAAAACTAAAGTCTATTCAATTCCACATTAATAACGAATTATAAGTTTATCTTCCCAGGTGAAGAACAGACAAGATCAAACATTCTTCCACCTACCCAGGGACATCTACGTAATTGATGCTTCCTTCCCTCCCTTTTCTCTTCTAACACTCACCTTACCTTATGTAAAATGTAGATGTTTCCTGGGCCTCACCAGAATGTTGCCATCTTACCTCAGTGCCCACCACCCTCCTCTTTTTTCTTTCTGTATGTCTGATTCCCCTGAAATACTGAAGCTCCCAAAATCGCCATCAGAAAACAGCCACAGATTTGTCTGTGGCTTGTGTTTTTCCTGGGCACATTTTCAAACTTTGGCTTAATAACCCCCCATTGATTGAGACCTTTGCCTCAGTCTTTATTTTGGATTGTCAAACTTAATCGTCATTTATCATATGGTAAGAGGACATTGGCTGTCAATTCCTAGACTATCATATTCTGCTTCTTCCTAACATTTTCAAATTTGAGGCTGTTCTCTTTGAAGGAGTCTCACTTCATAAGTGGCTTTCTCTCTCTGTGTCTCTCTCTCTCCTTCTTTTTGGTTTTTACTCAAATGTCATGTCAATGGAGCCAAAATTTTTGTTAGACACTGCATTCTCTTCCTCTTGCTCTGAAAACTGAGTGAAATTTTTATCTACACTGTATATATTAATACATTATTTTCATCACAGTCTTTTTTGTGTGTTGTGGTTGTTTTCGGAATAAAGTGCTTGGAAATATCTGCCTATTCGTTGGACATTTTAAGCAGTAATCGTATTCTATGGCCTTTTATTTCCAATGAATATATTCAATTTTGTCAGTTGGGGTCCCTAGGCTAAATACTGCATATAAAGAATTAAAGTGGGTTATACAAAATCTTTGGTAGTTGTAGGCCCCTAGAATTGCAATCTGAGCATGACTGAAAATGAGTTTTTATTTGATATAAAGGGAACATTAAATTAATTAGGTATGATAACAGTATTTGCATTACATTTTTTGATTCATTAGAAATAGGTATTAAAATACCAATAAACTAAATAATGTGGTTTGTTATATTTGCTTTAAAATGTCACTAGGATAGCTGGAGTTGGCCATTGAAAATCAGGCCAAAATAATTAAAATTTTTGAAGCTTTTTGGTTGATACTATTTGTGATAGGTTTTTATTAAATAATTGTCTCTACTATTGTGTATGATGTTTGTATTTCTATCACAATATTCATACAAAGCATGTAAACATTTTAATAAAAATGCCTAGCACACTGCACATCTGCCCCATTCCATAAGAAAGAAAGGCAAAATCATCTTCCTGCACATTGTGGTGATGGATTTTGAGGCTCATCATCAGATCTGGGTGGGACAATTTCAGGTGAGTTAGAGCTGTGTGTCTTCTATAAGTTAATGTGGAATGGCCCCTGGCCTAAGAGTACATGCTCTACACTCACCAGACTATCAGGTTGTCCCCTGTGTGATGTGCCAGGCCCATGCCCATGTGCTGAAGTGATGCTCAGGCACAGAGCAGAGACCAGCTGGGCCCTTATGAGCTACTGCTCGTAACCTCCATGTCCCTTGTTCCCTAGGCCAGCCCTGAACTCTCTGCTGCTTTGTACAGGTCACAGGAGGAGGATGAGGAGCTGGTGCTGTGCCCACCAGTTCCCTTGCTGGAGGCTTAAGTCCTAGCCGTTGGGTTGGTATGTGGGGGCCGCTAATCCCTGGGGAACATGGATTTCAGGCACATCTCAGTAGCCTAGATCTCACATCCAACATTCTCAGTAACAGAAATCACATGTTTTAAGTGTATATTTCATGTTTTGTAGTGTATTTTCAGCATTATATAAACACAATCTTGAGGTTCCCTCCTCTTGGGGCTCCATCATTCCTTGTTCAGTGTATAATTTCTGGAAGGGGGATAGGTCCCCTCCAAGCAGCAGGTGAAAGCAGTGGTCTATCTGTGGACACTTCGTGCTTACAGACTCCTGTTTTCTCATGGGACACTGTCTCCCACTATTGGGCCTGAGGACAGATGATGTGGGTAGGGGGCATTACCCTACCTGTAGGGACCGTCCCTGGGCAAAAATTGGCTTAAGCCCAGAGTCAGCAAAACTGGATGTGCTCTCCTTGGGGCCAGAGGACAATAGGTCCAAACACGGCCTGTTGAACAAACAGAACTATTCCTCATGATGGACAGCTTTATGACAGATAACCAAGCACCTAGGGTCTTGCAAACAAGCCAAGGCGGCTCATTGTCCTGCATATGGTAATGAGATAAAGAAGTTAAGATGCAAACATCTGCTTCCATTGAGCAATCGTCTGGAAGGAATGAAAATGTGTTTTCCTCAAGGTGCCCAAGGTAGTCACATACCAGGAAGTAGCTGCCGGACATAGAAAAAGTATATAAATAAAACGACTGGTGGAATTGACCACTGCAGTCTTGTATGTCTTGTGTGTGTCTGTGTGTTTCTTTCTGTGTCCATTCCCCATTCTGCAATTGGGCCGCAACAACTGGCACAGC